GCTGACCTTGCAGAGAGAATTTACCCAGGGAAAACAAATGAACCCATTCCACTGCACTGCCTCATACTGCTCTATGCTGTATTACAGTGGGCTGTCTTGTGTTATTCTAAACTGTCATATATATCATATGCAGTCAGTCTGTCTCCACACAGATGGTCAATGTGGGACCTAATCTCACTGCTAGTGTGCTAAAGTTGAACTTTTATTCCTAAATGAAACCAGACTTTTTATGATCATTGTTGGCATTTATTAGATTTTTATAGTCCACATTGTATTTCTATGTGCTAAATGTTCTCAAGGAGAAACGCTACGAGAAAATGCACATCCCAGCGTTTGATAAGATGCATGTTGGATCAAAGACAAAGCTAGCAGAGGTGGAACAAATGCCAAACAGATCCCTGGTTAAAAGAGGAAGTGTAAGGAAAGGCCTGGTGCACAGCATTAAAATCCTTCTAACAGGAGCATCTTGGTGTGCGACTTTGTTTCACCTCTGTTGAATGTTCCCAGACACATGGCGTCCCATTCAGTTTTGCAGGAGCAAAAGCAGCAGATCATAATAAGAGGCGTTGCATCAAATTTGGGGCAGTGCTTCTACACATGTACATGTGGATTAAAGTTGGTTTTAATTCTTAAGTATTTATCTGCAACATTAAATACTGATGATACATAAGCAATGATCAAAGTTAAAGTCCCCTTAGTTGTTATTATTAAGTCATTAGTCAGTCAAAAATGGGAACCTGGGGTATGTTTAATCTGAAAATGGTGTGCGTCGTCTCAGGGGTTAAACCTCGAAATAGTGTGAGGCAGTGTCCGACACCTCCAACTTCAAACATGGTCAATTATGACTCCTTTTATCATAGTTTTTTGGATCCAACAAGGTTTTATATTTGTTGAACAACTTGAACTGAGAGTAGTGATTTAAAAATATGTGACGTCATCACAATGTAAAATCTTTGAGCCAACCAGGAACTCACAAGCAGGGCTAGAAGTAGAAACACCACTGTGCTAGTGTTGTGTCGTGCACAAATGTATTGTTCAAAAGAACGAATCTGTTGAGTCGATGTACTGAACTGAATCACTTCCGGAACTGATTCGTTCATTTCTCAGTTCAGTTGAGCTCAGCAGCGAGGGGAGTGGAACTGCAGATTCAGTCCGTGCGAACGACAAATCACTCGCGAGTCGTGAGGCAACCAGGGTCCAGGGAGGGACTGCCTACCACGTGACGAATCACTCAGTGAACGAATCACTAGTGAACAAATCACTCAGTGAACGACGTAACCTCGTTCCCTGAGTGATTCAAATCATTTCTTCTCAGCGATAAACTTTCATAGGGACCGTTTTCTCCAAGCTAACAGCTAATGTAGCCAGGAGTCAAGCCACATGAACACAATCACACACCTCCCCATTGTTTTAACAGACTTAGTTTCCAGATAAAAAAATTTAAAACGTTAGGCTGGCCACTAATGAGACTCACCAGTGCAGGGCAGACGCAGCAGCAGCAACGGAGAGAGACTGAGTCGGACTACGCAGTACACCGTCAGGGCTCCTGAACGATTCGGTGAACAAATCTTTTGAACAAATCTTTTTAATGAACTGATTCTAGTGATTCAGTAACATCTAAAGAGCTGCGTTGCCCGTCACTACACTGCACATATTGGCATATGCACCAGGAGAGCAGCTCCACTAGAATGAACAGACGCCATCTTAGCATCAAGTATTAATGTATCATTATAAATCTATTAGGCTGGTAGGCTTGGAGCGGAGCTGTCCATGATGCTGATCATTCCCACAACACACACCAACATGCTCACATCCTGTAAAATAACAGAATAAATACAGCTTCATATGTGTGTTTTTGCTGTGTATGTGCTTATGGTGTGTGCGTATAGAGACCTGACATTACAGATCAGGCTGAAGCACGCGCTCGCCCATGAGATACGAGTGTGTGTTATTACCCCACTGTAAGCATGTCCACAGAGAAATGTTAGCAGCAGTGTTGTGATGCAGATGTCCTCAGACACTGAGGCAGAAAGAGCAGCTCTGAAGGTACCAGCCTCCCACACAAAACTCAGGAACCATTACAATGACACGCACGTCAGGTGAACGCCTGTTTGTGCATGTGTGTTTCTATTTCTGTCTCATGTAGTGTGTGTTTCTTTCTAAATACTCTGAGTGTGTATTAACAATATGTGCTGGTGTGTGTGAACAGAGTAGGTCAGAATGAGGAATGTGCGTAAGTGTTCATTTTGTGTGTCCTCGTTCCAATCTGTGCATGTTTTAGGGATTTGCGTGCATGCACGCGTGTTTCGGGTATTCCAGTAATGATCGACCCTCGACTCAGTCTCTCCACATTGACGCATCAGTGTTGCTTTAAATGCCTGTTACCATGGAAACAGGCAGCCAGCATACAGGTCTGGTACACAGACAATGGTCTCTCTCTCTCTCTCTGTCTCTCTTTCTGTCGTTCTCTTTCTGTCACTTTCCGTCTCTCCACCCCTGCTGCTCCACCCGCCGTTTACCCAATTTTCTCTCGCCACATCTTCCCATTCTTTCTGTTTCTCGCCTTGATTTTCATTCATTCACGTCAGTCTCCCCCCTCTCCAAGGTCTCCCCCCCTCCTCTCTCACTCTCCCTCTTTTCATTCAGTCTGACGTTTTTTACCTCTCTCTCAATTCATTCATGTCAACCTCGCCGCCATGCTCTCACATCTCTGTCTCGCTCTCCTTTCATCACTCTCTCCACTTGTCACGTCACCCTCTTTGTCTCTCTCCCTTCATCCATCTCTGTCTACCTGTGCTCCATCTGTTTTAATTCCCCCTATCTCAATCTTCTCTTTCTGTCCATCTTTTCTTTCCTCTGCGCTCTGTGTGTGCGTGGATGGAGAGCGGTGATGCTCGGTCAAACACACACAGATGCTCACAGAGGTTTTCTTCAAAGCGCACAATTAGAGCTTGTTTAATTGCGGCTTTGCACATACATCATAGGTTCCTTGGGAGCATTGGGTGTGTGCATCCTAAAAACGAATGCTACATGTCTACAATTAAGCTCATGAACAGTGGGGGCAGCATATCAGGATGAGACGTAAGGTCTGCCGCAGACTCTTAAGAAATGAGAACAACAATGCTGGCCAGCTTTAAAGACGAATAGTTTTTTTTTTATTTTTGGTAGCTACAGCCTGACTTGATCTGGCAATTTTCACGAACTTTAGATCTTCAGATGGCTATTGCTCCTTAAAGGGATAGTTCAAATTTTTATGTGGTTGTATGAGGTTCTTATCCATGGTCAGTGTATTAAGAACATTAGATGGCGATCAGTACACCCCAAATTTGGAGAAGCAGGCGGGAGTTCGACACAGAAGAAAAAAGCAACGTATGGCTGTGGACGAGGGCAGCAGCAAAACCTTTTTTAGCCATCTATAACTAATCGATATCAGCTAAACATACGCTATGTTTAGAATATTTTTACCATATTACCTTGCCATCAGACAGACTTTTTCGTCGGGGAACTTAAGCCGTTATATCGCTATCTTTAAAGCCACCAGACTCCTTTAACAAAACCAGTAATTCTTCCTCACTGAACACGGGAGATGCTAGTCTACTATTGCCCAAATAGTTTGCTTGTGTTATTGTGTGACTTTTAAAGTGTTACTTCAGATTCACCAAAGTCACACAATAACACAAACTAAGTGATCAAGGCAGTCTAAGACCTCCAACCCCTGTGTTCTGTAAGGTAAAATTACTGTTTTTTGTCAATAGAGTCTTTGAAGTAAGTTTGAAGTAACTCAAGTTCGTTTGCCCCCTAAGTGCGGTTCGTTTTGGCAGGTGTGAACACAGCAATCACACTCAGGTGCGCACCAAAACAACCAGACTCCTTCTTGAAGAGGTGGTCTCAGTCTGGTTACAAAAGAACTCTGGTGCGGTTCATTTGTGGTGAGAATGTGTTCCGACCTGGATCTGAACCAACTGCAGTCACATGACACATTGTTTGGGTTAAACATGAGCATGTTACAGTCCTGGAGGATTATTAATGTGCACCTCCTCCTGTACTGCCTTAATATGCACATTCAGCACATCCAATGCATCAAAACATTGTTTTCTAGTTGGAGCCGCGCCTCGTTTTCAAACTGTATGGTTTGACTAAAATGAACAATGACAGCAATACAGTCCACGATGAGCAGCGCTAAAATCAACCTGCGTAGTTGTCCCTCCATTGTGACATTAGAAAGTGTCACATTTATCTTGCAAGTGTACTCTTCTTCAACATTTGCTTTACTTCCTGGATTTTTCCTGATCAAGAGCAGCGTTCTCACACAAGGCATTTGATCTGGTTCACTTGTAAATGCGTACAAACCACTCTAGGCATGTATACAACTTTGCAACAAAATTAGTCCCTGATTCAGACAAAAGCAAGACAACTCTAAGTCTGAAAGCACCCTAACTTTCACTCTCAGTTCAGCTCCCCATCAAAAACGTCAGTCTGACGGCAAGCTAAAGCATTGAAAAGTCTCTCAGTATGATGTACACTTAAACCAATATTGATTTTTTTCAGGTCGGACTGTTTTTAGGTTGCTAAAATATGTTTTTCTGCTGGCCCCCGTCCACAGCAGTACATTGTTTAGCTTCCATGCTGATCCTTCTACCTGCTTCTCCAAACTGAGGGCATGCCGACTGCAGCTACTGTAGCTAATACACTGAATATGGATAAGTACCTCATTCAACCTTACTTCAAAAGATCTGAACTAGCCCTGCAACTCACTTTACTGAGTCAACTGAGTTACTTTAGGACTATTCTCCTCTTGTGCTACAGTAACAATACATCGTAATATTTATGATTTTCCTGTAATTACCATCTTGTGGCCACAGCGTAAGTTAATTGCTTGCTCTCTATACAATTTAATCCTCCAAGTATGTGAACAATGCTGACAGCAAAAAGAGTAATATGCAGAAACACACCTGTGGCACACACACAGTAGCAGACAAACATCCACACTATAGCCTCACCTTGCCGAAGCTGCCCTTGCCCAGCACCATCAGGAAGTTAAAGTCAGCCAGCTTCATGCGATCTTGGTTGCCATTGGAGTCGAACCGGGACGCAGCATTAGCCGACTTGCCTTCTGTGTTCTTGCCTGGTCCAATCTTAGCTCTCTAGATAAGAGAGAATAAGGGACTACGTTAGACACAACCTCCAACATTCAAAGGGACAACTGACTGTCAGTGGAAGAATATTTAAGCATACTAACATTTTAAAAAGTTATGATGAGGCAGCTGGTGATATAAGGCCTTTCAGCAGTATTTGTTGGGGAAAATAAGATTTTTATTTATTCATTATTTCCAACAATATTCGCCCCTTTGGTGCTGGAATTGGAACCAACAACCATGGTGCTATTTGCCACATTTTAACCATCATTTGAGATTGGTAGTCATTACCATGACTCTGCACTTTAATTCATGTGACACATGGATTGGCATAAAAGGGAGGACAGTGGCTGTAAAACAGCTCGGATGTTTACATAACGACAGATGTGAGGGAAAGGCCTTGAAGGAAACACCAGTGAAACATTAATTTCTTTCGCGTGCCAAGAATTGGGGGCCAAGAATAACATCCTTCTTGTGAATCATTTATGTGAAATGTTGTCATCATTTGAGAAACTCCCATTAGTAATGCTGCTAATTATCTGGACCCAAGTCTTATTGCTTGTGGCAAATATGCTCAATATGGCAATCATATCAAAAGATTTTTGACAGTTTGCTTCAAGGAATACTTCAATCCCAAAATGATGAGTAAATGTCAGTTACTTTGTTTTTCTCACATGCTTCAACAGTGAACAAAGAATCCCAAGACAGAGAAAGTGTTAAAGTAAAAGGAGGCCATGTTTAACAGAAGCAAAACTACATCAAAATATCAATTTACAAAGTTGTACACAACTTGCGCAGTAAAATCCAAGTCTCATTTAAGCAGTCATATGCTCAGTACTTCCCAAACAGACAGCTGTTTCCGACGGGAAACTGAACTGTGTTCTCTTCGAAGCCAGTCTCCACTGACAAAGACAGCCACTTTACCTCACTGCACAAAGGAGCTGCTGAGGCAGGATTTGGAGTTAGCGAGGTAACTTAAGGGTTAACTCAGGGTTTTCAGTACTACAAAGCTGGTTCTCTTTTTATCAGGATAAATCACCGTGGTAACTTATGCTGCTCTGGAGCAGGTAATGTTCACGGTATCATATCACAGCCCGTCAACACAGTGACCTCTGACCAATCAGATCACTGAAGAAAAAAGTATCCATGGACAAAATTTTGGAATCTCAGATAAAGAAAGAGTCACCTATATATTGTTAGAGGTCAGTAGTAATAGTCGGTCATTTCATTGTTTCAGGGCTCTATTTCCACTGGTTTTAAAACAGAGCTTCTAACAAACGGAGAGATCATCTATCCACTAAACACAGGATTTTAACTTATGCAAAGTTTATTTTAGTCTGCAGTGACAGTGTTGATATTTTACACTCTGCTTCCACCACTGCAGCTCAAAATACTGTGTGATGAGAACGAGGAAAAAAGATAATATTTCATTTAATAAAATAATCCACACACTGTTATGTGGCTCCCGTTATTATAAATGCAACGTTTGGGTAAGAAAGATGTCCTCAGTCAGTAACTAGGCTACTTTTCCACTCTTTACTTCAGCAGCAGAAACAGTCTGGTGTTACTTTACTGTCTCGCGGTCGCAGACATTTTCAGTACCATTTCATCTCATAAGATATGAAGCAGCCTACTTCATTCATGGTTCTGATGATGTTGCGTGTACTTAACACCCCCGCCTCTCTCACATGAATGCACTCGTAGCTGGATAGGAAAACCCAGAGTTGACTGAACCAGTTGATAACCAGCTCTGTAGTACTGGTTATCCAGACGGCCAGTGTTAGGGTTAGTCAAACAAAGATATCCTGGGTAAGTAGAACTGGCTTTGCAGTACAGGCCTGCTGGTCTTCACCAAAGTCATGCAATAACACAAACAAACTAACAGATCCAGAAAGCTGGAGACCAACAGTTTGTGTTTAGTGAGGTAAAAATCCTTTTTTTGTGAATGGAGTTTGACTTTAAGGAGTGTTTCCCTTTCTTTTCAGCTCCCTGTAGGAAAGGGCTGTCTATTTGGGAGGGACTGAGCATACCACTGAAAAAACTTAGACTTGGATTATACTGCACTAGTTGTGTGAGAGTTTCTAAATGTTTTGATGTAATTTTGCTGTTGCTAAACCTGCCCCCCTTTTCCTCTTATTCATCACAAATTTTCTCTCTTTTTTTGGATTCTTTTACACTATAAATTTAGGCAGAAACACATATTTCACACATCAAGGTTATAAACAAGATAGAAGAGAGAGTAAAAGAGTTCAGCCAGCCACATCTCAAAAGTTTGGGAAATAAATAAATCACAGTAATAAATATACATTCTCAACACAGGTGTAAGAACAGTAACATTTTAGAATCCGAACAAGGCTGGTCTAATAAAAATACATACAGCCCTTAAAACTTTCAAATTCCCCCTAAATGTTCAGAGACGCTTTTTAAAAATTTGGGGCATTTTAATATGAAAGAGAAAACCTTTTTGTTAGATAGACGGGAGTGGAAGTGATAAATATGGTAAAAGGGAAAAGTTTTTAGCCTTTCGGTTCATTCTGTTTCATTTATTCCGTGCAGGCACTTCATACTTTCCATAACAAATATGGCTTCCCAGTGAGTCTGCCACTCCATTCAATCACGACTGTCACCACTTTCCCTTGTTTCTGTCCTTCAACCACTCACTCTCAAAGTTTTTCTACCATTTCTCTTTCTCTCTATAATTCATTTCTACTTCATCTTTATAAATGTGGCCCGTGTCTCTGACTCTCCATTTATTCATGTCTGTCACCACTTCCCCGTCTCTCCTCTATTCACTCTTAGTTCCTACGTGCCTGCCGCGACCTTGTCACGCTCTCTCGTCCCGTCTCTGTCGTAAGGAACTATTGTAATCTTACAATCTAATCTAATTATAATCTTATTCTTCACTTTGTTAAGCCATGCTTCAATTTAAAAACAGTCTTAAGACATTAACAAAACGCCTGCACACTCAGAGACAGAGGTGCAGGATGAGCACATCTTATCCTATCTTATCTTAAATTGCTGATCCGCACTGAGGCTCTCTGCACTTCTTCTGTCCTGTGCAGTAATTTCTCTGCTGCCTTGTCTAGAAAATTGTCAGAGTGAAGCATCCGAGTACTCTGCTGCTCCCTGCACTGTGTCTGTGTGTGTGTGTGTGTGTGTGTGTGTGTGTGATGCAACCCATACGGTTCCCGACTCATCAATGGATAAAAGGCTCTATCTGTCTCCATCTGTTCTGACACACACACACACACACACACACACACACACACACACACACAGAGGAGCACTTGAGGTATTTGTGAGCAGCAGAGCATGCTGAAGGCAACACTCTCAAAGCCTTCAGAGATCAATGCTGCTCTCTCTGTATACAGCCATGTGTCCAAATATTTCTGTGCACATTATAAATGGTTGAATGGCAGCAGAAAAATCTGATACATTTTCTTAAAAACCTGAAAAACCTAAACTGCATTAACACTAACTTGATGTGTTTTTTTTTTTGCTCTTGTGGGAGAATGCATCTGAACAATTCATCTTCATCATCTGTCTCATCCCAGTTACTGTCCTAATGCAGCCTCTGTGTACTGGCATGTAATAACAGCAACAGCTTGACTATCTAACCAACCCAGATGCCTGAAAAATGCCAAGAAAACGTTGGCATTGTACGTTTCTGCAAACCTCAAATATGATACATTTGTATGTTTCATATCTATCATAAAAACCTTTTATAGACTGATGTAGTAAATGAGCAGACTCTGTCATCGGGAGGTGGAGGGGATGGTGGATGACATGACACCTAGGCTAAATGCCTGTCCAGCTGCAGACGACTGTTTGAGACCAACAAACAACAAAACTGGTTCTTTTTTAGCAAGTTGTTGCTGTGTTCTCAGCTGCTTTTTAGGCACCAAAAGTGGGTGTCTTGTAGGCGTGGGAATCACCAAACGATACAATATTACTGAGATTTTAAACATGTTGTGATATGCTGAATAATGCGATTAAATATGATGCAATATTGTACTTTTTTCCAACTGTAAATTATTTCCCTAAAGGAAAACTTTGTCAACATCTGTATTATCTAATAAAATAAAGTTTTCAGTCTCTTCATCTCACTTTAATTATTTGCATTTGCAGCACAGTGTGTGTAGTGGACTAAAAAAGCAATAGATTTTATTATTCAAGTAGGCTACCAAAAGTTTAATTTGTATTCGTAACGATATGATATGATATTGCCGCATAAAAAAATATCGGGACACAATTTTTTCCACCCACCACTAGTGTTTTGTAGCAACCAGTTGCTGTTTTTCCACTAAGCATAGTGCTACGAGAAGCAGTTGCTTTTTACTGAGACATTGCTGCATCTCCTGCCGGGACAGTGCACAAAAAGCATTTGGGTCTTCACCGAGATGTCACTAGGTGCGGTTACATGATGGCTTCTCATTCAGAATGAAATAAATCTGAATGAAATAATTCGGAATTTTTTTCCAGGTAGTTTACATGGGAAATATTCATTCCAAATGAGGGTTTACACGGGAGATCAGTTTAATTGCCTTTATTCAGGTCTGCACAAGGTTTGGGGCAGGGAAGGTTTCTGATTGGATAGGGGGCGGGGCGGATGTTATGTGTTTACGTTTACCAGACGAAAACACTGTAGTTCTCGTTCCGGATAACAAGATGCTTGACGACGCCGTTCTTAGTGCCTTTTTTGGGCGTGTTTTGCTTATATTCTTGAGGCAGCAGTACGACAACAACCTTGTTCTGCTAATGCTTCGTCTGTTGAGGAGGAGAACGGAGGTAGAAGACCACGCTGTGGCGAATGGAAACCAGTGAGTGCAACAAGTCCGACTCCTCTATCTCAGCCCGTTGCTATGCAGCCCGTTGCTATGCGTGCTATGTCATGGCGCCAGAAGGGCAAGGAAACGAGCATGCGCAGAAAGAACAGAATGGCTGTAATCAGGTAGGAGGTGTATACAAGACAGAAAAATTCTTCCATTCGGGTTCTGAAAAGGAATATTCCACCCCTGTGCACCGGATTAGATTTTCTTTCGGGTTGGCTGTTTTCATCCGGGTTGAGGTGTTTACAAGGAGCATTTCTATTCGGGTAGGGCTTCCAACCCGAATGCAAAAGGAATACATGGCTCCATGTAAACGCACGTACTGTGTTTCCACTGGGGATAGTGAGATGAAAAGTGGTTGTATTTTTATGGGAACATGACTACATTTCCAGCCATAGGTGTAGATTTCAGAGGGGATGCAGGGGACAAGTAGCATAGAACTATTCTTTTCACAAAATTACAGACATTTATTCCATAAATCAATGATAAGGCACATATTAGTTCATCAAATTCACCAGACTGCAAGAAATTAGGTTTTATATGTCCCCCTCAAGGATAAAGCGAAACCTACACCCTTGTCTCGAGCCATGACTGTGCCCGAAAACCAGTTTTTTAAGCCCAAACATGATCTTTTCTGATCTTTTCCTCACCATAACAACTGGTTTTCATGCCTGAACATAACCAACAGTTAACCACAGCGTTATTGAAGCAGAAACTTTCAACATATCTGCAACAAAATATCATACAAATGTATCCATGGTTTGCAGAAACATACAATGCCAACACTCTTTCTGGTAACTGGGTTGATTTAAATATTTCCTAAAGACCATTACCCAGTTTTCTCTCTATAAATGTTCTTTTTCACTGACACAGGTAGCATCCAAGATGTCAGTGCATTATCACCATGTCTATGATCATATTTTCTGCTCCTACAGATGGAAATGGAGCTTATTAATAAACAGTTAATATTGTTAATGTTCTTTGGGTTTTAAAAAATAAGAAAAGTTTGGTCAAATCATCTTTGATAATTACAGCAGATAAAAACATGTTGTGTCTCTCTTGATTTCAATACTACCATCAATGTGCCACAGTCCACCTTCATTCCCCCCCATTTCCCCCTCTCACATCCCTTTGCTTTAGCTCCCTATATGTGTGTAAGCAAAAGAAATGAGCTCAAAAGAGGGAAAGACATATGTGAGACAGAGAAAGTGAAGTAAATAGAGAAACAAAAAGATTAAAAATGCAAAAAAAAGAAACTAGAAAAGTGCATCCAGTAAAGTGCACTTCTCCGAAAGGTGTTTAAGATGCATCTAACAGTGTAATCGTATTGTAACCGAGTTAAATTTAAAAGGGAGACAATAAATGGGACGAATGGGAAGTCCACACCCAAATGAAACATTATTTATTGAGAACATTTTGTTCAAAACACCTAACAAAATAAAACCCCTCCCTAACTCTGTCTGCTGTTCCAGACAAAGAAGAGTTGAATCTCACTTAATTCACCTTTGTTTGCCTTTATTTGTTCAGCTTTGGTGTCCTTGTCCCTAACAGTTATGTCTATGTCTGTTTAAGTAGATGGGAGCAGTGCAAAAAAAAAATCAGAGTCATGTGTACATAAACTGTACTGACAATAAAGGTGATTCTAAATCTCTTACGGTCAAGATGGCAGTAAGGATAACAAAAACGGGGGTTCATTCATTTCATATCGTGCCTAACTTTCATGGACTGTAACATTTCGGGTTTGGAATCTATATGCAAATTCTCCAGCTAAAATTGCTTTGCTTTGCTTTGTTTTTGTTTTTGAGCCATGACAAAGGCTAAAATGTGGCCTGCAGCAGACATGGTAAGCCTTGTTTTTAACCTAAATTTAGCTGACTGTTGGAAAACTTGCGGCCTCTACTGGCCAGTTAAGAGAAGTGAGGCGTCAGCAGTAAATGACATGTATATTGGGGAGGACGCTTCAATCCCAATATTCAAATACACTCAAAATGTTGCATCACTACAACCACAAGAGATCTTTGAGCATACAGCCATAAATGTGCACAAAATATATTAGGCTGATTGGTCTAGTAGTATGTGAGATTAGATGCAGACAGACAGATAAATACATGACTGAATGCATGAGCCTCTCCAGGTTTATGCTTGGTCGAGATAAAACTGAGATGGAAGAAGGGAGAAAGAAGAGAGAGGGAAAGAGCAGGACACGGTAGTAATAATTAAGTCTGTGAATTCTGTACTGTTTTTGTATGTCTTTTGATCAAAACTTCATCCTAATGATATGTCGGAAAAAATTGAACTGAGACAGAAAAATTTCGCTCAATTTAAAATGTGTATAACGTTAAATCTAAATTCTTAACTTCTTGTGAATAACTGATGGTGTTGTATGTGTGTCTGTGTGATTCTGGATGGAGTGAATGGAGGCATGCAGGTCATGTAACCAAAGTGAAATCTCTCTCGTCTGTCTTTCTCTCTGCCATCTCTCTCCAAGCCTCACACGAGTAGTTGCCTACATGCTTGTGTGTGCGCATGCCTGTGTGTGTGTGTGTGTGTGTGTGTGTGTGTGTGTGTGTGTGCTCGCCGGCCCCCCTGAGAATGTGTCTCAGTGAACGTCTGAGGACCGTGACCTTGAGGAGAGTGAGGGAAAGAAAACAGATAAAGAGGGAGAAACACACAGGGGGGCACTGAAGGTGACAGAGGACAAAACAGATAAGTGAAGGAGAGAAAGGGAAGCAAAGTGAAGACAGGGAGGAGAAGGAGAGGAGAGAGATGGAGGCTGGAAGGCGACAATATGTCCCTACAGAACGCAGACTCTTAGAGGAGAAGATGAAAAGTATCTTATTTCACAGCACTAAAACTGGAATTTGTTCGCAACACAGTTGGGTCGATTTCCGTTTTTGCCGGTACGATCTGGTGTACAAGCTTAAACCAGTTTGATTTTAAGCAAACCAGGTGAACCAACATTTGTCATCTGGCTAATTGAAAAATCGTTGAAATCGGAAACCTGTGCTTATTAAAACCCCCCGGACGGGACGTGAAAAGTGGACATGTCTGGGCAAAAGAGGACGTTTGGTCAGCCTACTTTATAGCACATCCTGATGCCTCTGAATCCCCTTTTACGTCTGGAACCTCCCGTCTACAACGGGCTTGAGACACACCCTTGTTGAGGACTTGGTTACTCTCTTATACTGCAGGCTCCTTCAGGAATCTGATCCCGTTAGATTCAGCAGGGGGAACCTCTTGTAACCGCGTGCCTTTGCTGACCCCAGCAGTGTTTGAACCCTGGACCTTCGGCATTGGAAAACGAGCGTGCTAACTACTACACTAGCACATCCTGACGCCGCTATTCCAAAATATAGTGGAAGAGTAACTATATATTTATGTGTAGACATGTAAGAACTGTTAGCAAAGTTATTGCCAGCGTTATTTTGGTCATGTCTACCATTGCACGAAATGTCGCCTCATTTGTGACGCCTCACAGAGGATATAACAGCACGCCCTTTAACATGACGAACCATCCTGTACAGAGTATTACAAAGGATCTATTTTGACCTAAACACAGTTTGCATGTGGACGAAAGGACAATTATCTGTGTACATGTGAACAAGGTCTGAGGTTTCAGTCAAAGAACTTGGTCATCTGAACTCTTATGTTGTGACTTCAAACCCTTCACTGGATTGGGAGTGAATGATTGCTTTGTGAAACACTTGTTTTATTAATGAGAGTTAGATGAGAGGATCAATAGCATTCAAGTGTCTCTATGGTGAATGTTAGGCTACAACCAGCAGTTGGTTAACTTAGCTTAGCACAAAGGCGAGACAGCTAGCCTTACTCTGTCCAAAGGTAACAAAATCCACCAACCAGCACCTCGTTTTTACAACTTGGTTTATGTTAGTGAGCTTTAGAGGTGCTGATGAGTGGATTTAGTTACCTTCAGACAGAGCCAGGCCAGGTATTTCCCCCTTTTCCGAACTTTATGCTAAGCTAACTGGGGCTAAAGCAGGGAGACGTGAGGAAACAAAAGCAAAACTGCCCCTGAACAGCTCCACTCTACTCTGCGATCAACACATTTCAGAATGACTCTGATGTTTAGTAGCTCGGTGTCAGTTAGACAGAAGGAGGACAGGAAAAGAGAAGCTAGAAAGAGGAAATGCACAGAGCGGGGTTATCCTCTCCACTGCCAAATGTGTTAATGAGTGGGCCTACTGGTCAGCCACACACACGCACACACACACTCGCCTGGACCTGCAGTGTGCCAGACCGGATGGTACTACAAGTGTGCCTGCCAACTGCTAACAGCTCTCCCAGAGAGGCTCTCACTCAGACACACACAGATGCACAGTGCACACATACACATTCACAAGCATGCCATACCGACACATTCAGATACACGCGGCCACACGTTTGCAAATGCTTCAGCATGAAAACACAAATAGACTGAAGGTGCGAATGTACACACACCTCAAATTTCTGCCGTAGCTCCTCGTTGCCCTCCTCCCCCTCCGGAGCAACAGGAACGTTGAAGTACTCGCCTTCTTCCTGGGAGAGCAGCTTAAACCTGAAGAGAGAGAATATTTCCCGTCAAATCAATTCCCAATTAGTTTATACAATTTGAGCGTTTAACTGCTTCCATTAGGCAAAGCTGCTGAATGTTAGTGTGCCCATTTAAAGACCTGAAGAATAATCAGCTGATTATTTAGTAATTCCCTCTCCTTCATGGTGATCCTGCAAAGCCTGACACAGATGAGCCCACAACACAGCTGAGATGCTTATCGCTTAACAAAATCAATAGAATATAATTTTTCATATTGGCCTTGTTACAACTGATGCTACAAGTTTTTATCTCACCTCCATATTCATTGTAAATAACATTGTACTGTGTGTTTATGAACTTTTACTGTAGTTATTTTCCTTTTATGTTTTCAGGTTATGTTTTCGGCATCATTCCTGTTTTACTCTTTCTGATTTATCGACCTATTTGGTGCTGATGATGATAAAATGACTGTTTATTTAAATGCAGACTGGTGGCTTGGGCAGTAGTGATTTCTGAGCTGTTTCTGGCTCAGCAAAAAGGATCTTACTCTTCAACAAAAAGGTTTATTTCAGTTGGGATCTTTTCCATAATGTTGTCAGACACTTAGAATAACAATCTGAGCCTGTCAGTGGCAAAAACAAGCACTTTTAGTGGACATACTGACGGTGCACTGCAGCGATCTCACTCAATACTGGGCCAATTTCAAAAGCTGTTTTTCCCTGTAGTAACAGTCTGATTTAATCAGAAGTCTTAATTTTTAAGTCAACACGTCATCGAAATTGGCTTTAAAATGAATCATCATTGGCCAACATGCTTGTTCGTGACCTCTATACATTTTTTTTTAGTCTCAGGGCTCTATTCTTGTGACCCCTGTGGCATGAGTCATAGTAAAGTGCACCATGCCCAATGCATCAGCAGTGTGCCAAACACTCTTCTGGCAATGTCTTGGCCAGGCTCTCCTGGCTCACCTGTGGCACACTTGGATACAGGGTGGGATCGGAAAGCATACATCATCATGAATTATAGCCAAAGTGGGGCTGTGACAACCATGGCCAATCACATTCACTACTTTCACCTCCTGTCAACGCAGAGCTCTACCTGTCATGATGCACTGAGAGTTTGGGAATCCTGAGGAGAGTTTTCCCCTGACAAAACAAATTGTTGTACAGCTCAACTGAAGCCCAAATACACTCACCAGCGACTTTATTAGGTATGCCTGCTATAATCAGCCTATCATGTGGCAGCAACTCAATGCATTTAGACATGTAGACATGGTCAAGATGACCTGCTGAAGTTCAAACTGAGCATCAGAATGAGGAAGAAAAATGATTTAAGTGACTTTGAACGTGGCATGGTTGATGGTGCCAGACGGGCTGGTCTGAGTATTTACTGGGATTTTCACACACAACCATCACTAGGGTTTACAGAGGATGGTCCCAAAAAGAGAAAATATCCAGTGAGCCAAAATGCCTTGTTGATGCCAGAGGTCAGAGGAGAATGGCCAGACTGGTTCAAGATGATAGAAAGGCAGCAGGAACTCAAATAACCACTGGTTACAACCAAGGTCTGCAGAAGACCATCTCTGAACCAACAACACCTTGTCCAACCTTGAAGCAGATGGGCTACAGCAGCAGAAGACCACACCAGGTGCCACTCCTGTCAGCTAACAACAGGAAACTGAGGCTACAGTTCACACAGGCTCACCAAAACTGGACAATAGAAGATTGGAAAAACGTTGCCTGGTCTGATGAGTCTGGATTTCTGCTGCCACATTCAGATGGTAGGGTCAGAATTTGGCGTCATGGATCCATCCTGCCTTGTATCAACGGTTCAGGCTGCTGCTGGTGGTGTAATGGTGTGGGGGAGATTTTCTTAGTACCAACTGAGCATGGTTTAAACACCACAGCCTACCTGAGTATTGTTGCTGACCGTGTCCATCCCTTTATGACCACAGTGTACCCATCTTCTGATGGCTACTTCCAGCAGGAAAACGCACCATGTCACAAAGCTCACATCATCTCAAACTGGTTTCTTGAACATGACAATGAGTTCACTGTACTCCAATGGCCTCCACAGTCACCAGATCTCAGTCCAATAGAGCACCTTTGGGATATGGTGGAAATCTGCAGCAACTATGTGATGTCATCATGTCAATATGGACCAAAATCTCTGAGGAATGTTTCCAGCACCTTGTTGAATCTGTGACACCAAGAATTAAGGCAGCTCTGAAGGCAGAATAGGGTCCAACCTGGTACTAGCAAGGTGTACCTAATAAAGTGGCCAGTGAGCACATACTGCCAAGAGCAATAAGTAGCCATGTGATCAAATTGTTAATGAAATAACATTGATTACAGGCACTTTAATGATGACTGGTTCAGAGCCCTTGCACAGTGGAAACACCTAAAGGAATAAAGGCAATCAAACACTGCCAACAGGTTGCAGTCGTGTTATCAGACAGGTTTCAGCTAACAATTAAATCTGCTGCTGGCTGTTAAGATGAATGACCATATTGTGTTTAGACAGTGATGGAGTTACTCAGTCTGTGCTAATTATTTCAGCTTATCTGACACAATTTACAATTAAAATCACATCAGTATCAAAGTAAGATTATGTCACAAGCTTAACTCTTTTAAACCTAATGCCAATTATCTTCCATAGAGGGCAATAACATAGAAACATACAGGCATTTAGCTTCAGCTGTTCATGTATGTCTCATTCTAGCTGCCTGTGCCAGCACAGGTGTGAGACTCTGGAGCTGCACACAGATGGAGTAGTGGAAAACACACACTTGCACAGGTTCTCTTTGCTCTGAATATCAGGTTTTTAATGGCATCTCTCCACCTCCACCAGTCTACCTCAAATGTTGGCATCTCATTAAAAACCCTGACAGGGCAGCGTCAGCAAAAAGAAGGGAAGATAGAGAGATATAGAGACTGAGTTACAGAGAGAGAGGGAGGGAGCTGGAGAGATAAAGAAGCTGAGATAAAGAGACAGGGTAGAGATGCTTTGGCACCGAGTATCACCAGAATAAAAAGAGAAGCTCCAACTAAAGTATTTCTCCAACAGTGCAGTAATGAACAAGGTCACCTTCACTCTCCCTCCTCCTCTACCTGCGCTGTTCCTCCGCCTCACATCTCTCCAACCCCCCCCCCCCCCCCCCCCCCCCCCCCCCCCCCCCCCCCCCCCCCCCCCCCCCCCCCCCCCCCCCCCCCCCCCCCCCTAATCATCCATCCATCCCTCTTTTCATCTCACCATCCATCCACTCCGTTTTTCTGGAGCTCTGAGATGCCGAAGGACAGTGATCCCATGAAGTCGTTGCGGCTGGTCAGGTCCCAGTCCCACACCTCCACCGACAGACGGCGGTCCTTATCGTACTCCTTCAGGTGGCTGGGGGAGAAACAAGGACAATCAACAGTTGGATGACGGCCCACAGTGATACATGTAGGTGTTTAATATTTCAAGTTAACTTTAAAGCCACATGAGAGCAGTCTTGGATTTATCTTTCCTGCCATGACAATTTGTGGCCTCTGAAGCGTGCCTGGTATAATTCCTCCAGTAATCAGATGCACCTCATTTTCCAAACACAAGAAGCAGTAGCTGTCTGTGTGTCTAGCCTGTGTGCTACATTCAGGCTGCGTTCACACCACACATGTTTGGAGCAGTTCATAAAAACTTTTCTACCATCTCTTATTTTCATTTGTTGGATAGGTGCAAAAATCCTCTCAAACTGAACATGTGCACCCAGCTGTCTGAAAATACACATCTCACTGTCCTTCCATGCAAACTGTGATGGAGCTTATTAAGAATATAATTGGAGCCAACTGCTCGAAACAACCCCAAAACATAGCTTTTATGAATATAAGGCGCCAGATGTTTTTATCTGAGTGCCAGCGGTTACATGCTTGGAAAGACGAGCACGATGTAACGCTCTAAAAACACTGAGTGAGAGAGATGGAAGAGAAGAACCAGAGAAAAAATAAAGAGGGAGAGACAGACAGAAAGATAAACATAATAAAAGAGAAACCAAACATGATGTAATGAAGCCTTACAATTTAAAGGTCTCATTCCAAGTGGGGTTGAGGCAGCACTTTATGGTCTTAGTCTTCTGTTTGCTCTCGCTGCGTGGATCTGGGATCAGTTTAAGCTTCACGTAGGGGTCTGACAGACCATTGGGGTCCATGGGAACCAGATTCCTGCCCTCTTTGACTGGGGGGGGGGGGGAGAAGGAGAAAACAAGACAGAAAGAGTGAGAAGACGAGAGAGGAAATTTGTTCATGTGTTCTGTGTTCATGAAGAAGAAATCTCAGAGAGTCTCAGTTTCAGTTCACATAACGTACTGTTACACAGACACTAAGTATACATTTTTTAACATATGAATTATGAATATTAAACTCTTGGTAGCCTATTAGAATAAAATAATCAGTTGCTTTTTCAGTTCACTAGATACATTTTGCTGCAATAAAAATGACTGAAGTGAGATGGACAGAGTGACTGCTTCATTTTATTCGATAAAACTGTGGATGTTGAAAAAGTTTTCCTTTGGGAATAATATCATATCATGGGGCCTCTGGTGAATCCCACCTCTATGAGTTACTCATTAAAAATGCCCATTGATAAAATAAAAGTCACAATATTAAATCTATAACATGTTATTGGTAAACTGAGACGAACAGAAAAACCAAAGAGAAACAGAGAGTAAAGTACACACATGTGATTAATGCAACCTTAAGTAAAACAGACTAAAGACGACAATTGTGTAACACATTTTAAGTATGATTTTCTTGTGGAGATTATAACCCTTTTAGTTTTATTTTCTTAAATCTTCAAGGGAAAACAACCTGCCATTTGCTTCATATCCAAAGTGCTGCAACTCCAAATGTCCTACTCTGAACCTTGTGGACACCAATACTGGAACATTTCACCCCAAAATCAAAAATACATATATTTCCCCGTACCTGTAGTGCTATTAATCAGTCTAGCTTATTTTGGTGTGAGAATTGCAGAGCGTTGGAGATATCAGCTGTAGAGATGTCTGTCTTATGTCCATTATAATGGAATTAGATGGCACTCAGCTTGTGGTGCTCAAAGTGCCAAAACAATACATTTGAAAAACTCAACATCAATGTCTCTTTCTAGAAATCATGACCTGCTGACTTATGATACTCCACAGACACTGTTGTGAGCTGTTTCATGTCGGAACCAGGGGCGTAAATATAGACAGTGCAGGCAGTGTGGTTGCACTGAGGCCCTTGAGGTGTGGGGGCCCACACTTGAAAATATGCCTGTGTTCAAAGAAGAACTCTCATTTGATTAAAAACAGTGCCATTTGCTATATATGGCCATCTCCATCATGTATAACTTTTCTTTATTTATAAAACAGTTAATAGCATCTATAACAACATATAGGCTTATTCTATGACTGTAAATCAACTATTCTATAAATCAAATATTCTATAACAACAAATTAGCTGTCGGCCGGTTGGCTGGTGTAGTTTGGTAGAGGGAAAAAAGTTCCTACATGAAACTTCTCACAACAAGGTCTGTGGATTATCTTAAATAACTGGGTCATGATTTCTGGAAAGAGACATTGCTGTTGAGATTTTAAAATGTATTGTTTGCCACTTTGAGCACCACAAGCTGAGTGCCATCTAGTTCCATTATATTCAAGAGAAGGCAGAAATCTCTACGACCGATATCTCCGACACTCTGCAACTCACCACAAAACAATTTAAACTGTTAAACTGCGCTATAGGAAAGAGGAAAAATGTGTATTTCGGATTTTGTAGTGAAGTATCCCTTTAAAAGCTATAAGTGGAGTAAAATGATGATTAATCGCCACTCGCTCTTCTGCACATACCATGCTGTGGGTAGCCTGCATGAGTGGAAACAGCAGGAGGGTTCAAACCCACCCTTATTTCTCTGGTGCACATGGAGCAGTTGTGCCTTAAAATGAGGGTCTTATAATTTTATTCAGAGCCCACGCGTTACTTATCATAATTAATTTCAACCCATATTTAGCAGGTTGACAGGTGTTCATTTCAAGTCTTCAAGTGAGTATGTGTGTGAATTTGTGGAGTGTTTCCTGTCAATAATCTTTTTAACAACAAAACTCTCTCCTGAAACCAACTAATTAAATTAAGCATGGTAAATCTGAGGCAACAGAAAACACACACATACACAGAGCAGAACACCCAGAGCTGTGCTGGGGGTTAAAGCCTTAAGGTCGCCAGATCTGTCTGTAATGACCATGTAGACAGATGAAGGTTGCCAGTTCCTACACTAATCCTCCTTTTGTGGCCGTCTGTTATTGGGCTGTAATTGTATTCCGGTGGCGTAACATCCCCTGTGATTGGAGTGTGTGTGAATTTGTGTGTGTGTCTGTGTGCACAATTATTGTTGCTGGTCAAGTTGTGAGGTCACATCCAATTACCAGAATCCAGGCTGGCGCGGCTGTGTCTTAGGCAGCTCGCTAGGGAAGCTCTCAAGAACACACACACACACACACACGCACACATGCGCACACATGCACACACACACACACACACACAAGAACCTTTACCACCCCCTATATAAACACACACACAGCACAAAGAACTTAGCTGAGGCAGCTCAATAATTGTAATCTGTGGAAAAATGACAAAGAACGGCAGAGGAAGCCATGATAAGCTGAGGTAGGATGTGTAATGTTTCCATGTCGACTGTGTCGACTCAAATAGTCACGTTATGTATAAATACATTTTAGTTTCCAATTTTTCTTTCTTGAATACTCCAGATTCAGGAGCCAGTGCTGTTCATAGAAAAGACAGACTCCCTGTTTCAAGTTGGGGACTCTCAGTTTCACACGCCAGCTCAGGCCTCTCCCTGCCAAAGAGGTGACATTACTTATTTATGACCTTTTAAGAACACTTAAAATCTGATCTTACCCTGCCGAGTGCCCAAAGATCCATCTGCACGTAGAAACCTAAAACTATGTCTCTTGGTGTCTCAGTTTACCAGGTCAGTTACACTAACAGTGTGGTCACACTCGTAGTTTACTTTCCTTAAAACAAAACACTTCAGGGTTCAGACTACTTTGTTACAAAGACTTAAAAACATGCAGCCACGTGGACTGACATGCCACTCAGATCCAGAGCAGGAGTTGGGCTGTGTCCGCACCTTTTTTCCGTACAATCGGGTCGTGCCAAGGTCAGTGTATCTAACACCTGAGCAGAGTCTGTATCAGCTCTGAACCTGCCCTTCTGCCAGTGTTAGTTTGTTCTCTTTCTATTTGGGTCTCCATGGCTGGCACCATTTTGAATTTAGTCTAATGTTGCATTCATGTGGTGTCAGAATAATTGGAGAAATGAGTTTCCCACTGGCAAATTCACGTGAATGGCCCCTAAAGTCGGAACAACAACTATAAAAGCACACGACTTGCTGACTTTGATGTCATATTACCAGGAAACATGGTAAAAAAGTAAATGGTTGTTTCTTTGTTAGGAACTTTTTATCAATTCACGTATTGCATATCAATTTCTTGCTCACATGTAATTTGTAATATGGTATTAGGTTGTAACCATTAGTTTCCGTCCACGTAGAGTGACCTAGATTAGCTAGCAAAGTTATTAATTAGATTTGACCCCGATAACATATTAGGTGAAGCGATAGTTTAGTGGTTTTAAGAAACGTACTGGTGCAGAGACAGCTATCAAGGTGTTGTTTTAACACTCTGAACAATAAAATGCAACACCTCTTTTTTGTGGCGTCCATGACTTGAAAGCTTATTAACACACCAAAGTTGGAAGGATGACAACTTGAAAAGTGGAACCATCTGAGGAGCACATGTGAACGCAGCATAATCATTCTACTTCAACTTATTTTGAGTCAGTTTCAAATCAAGTCTGGTTTTTTTTCTCTTTTTTGTTGAAAATAATTTGTTAATTTTGAGTTTGGGTAGGTGCTACACTTTACTGCACTTAAATGCATCTTCTAACATAGTCTAACGGGCAAAAAGCAAATCAAGGAACGGATTAAAATTAATCTCTATAAATGGATATCTGCATAAGTGTGTGCAGAATCTGTAGGTACTGAGACAATGTTTTGGTACTGAAAGCATTCTGGTTTCCGTTTATAGTCCGTTTATGGTCCAAGTAGGATTGACGAGAGCAAAAGAGGCACAAAGCATTGGCCAAAGTGCAATCTTGGAACCCATTTTTATTAGCTTTATACTAATTTATCTGCATTCACACACAGATATCTGTTTTTAAAGACTAGCAAAAATGTTGTCGGGGCTTGTCTCAAATTGCTAACCGAACTGTACGCAATGATCGGCACAGAAGAGGAAGTCTTGCACTGGATATTCGCTGATTACACCAGAACCCCCAAAATACTAGCCGTTGACCACTTGAAGCTTTTCATGGTCAGAAAGACAGCCGATGGGTTCTGAGATTGGATTTAAGTACTACAGTAGATGAGACTGCAGGTGAACTTTATTTCAGAGATGACAAAGAGGGGCAGTTTGAAATAGAGGAGAAGGGAGAAGACACCATGTACAGTAAAATGATGGGGGGATGGCTGCCATCATAGAAAAATTGAAAATGACAAGTGTCACATAATCCAGAAATAGGTCAGTCTTGTATTGTCACCACAAATTAAGTGCACCTGAGTTCACTTGAAAGTGAGACTTTCCAGTCTGCCCCCGCCTGACATGATGCTGAAACATGGGTCAGAAAGTTTCTCCTCAGCGGCTACTGAAAAGCAAACTTTTGCAATAAAAGTCAAAACTGCCTTTTTTTTACAAACAACAATTGAGATACAAAGCTCTCAGGGCTGCGGGGAACATGCAGCGTCCTTTCAAACCATGACTGAGGGGAGAGCTTCCTGGCGAGCTCGCAGCGCGAGAAAACCTCAAGAAGTGAGAGAAATGAGGTTTTCGTGCCGTTGAAGCGCTGTATGCTACGCTAAGCTCCGAGAGGTTAACCACAGCACAGACCCAACGGCCAGCATTAAACCCTCAGCGGAGCAGGTCAATAAATATTAGATGATGCCTGTTAAAGTGACCATCAAATGCTGGTTGAGGTGAGCTATAAAGAGGGGTAGCATGCCAAATGGTCTCATAGGACACATACAGTCAGTAGAGGGTGTGTGTGTTTTTGTGTGAGTGGGTGAGTGAATCAGCTTGTGAACGCACAGGTGTGTAATGTGCATGTGACCGTGTTTGCATATGT